CATAAACGTTGTTTAGAGGTTTTTAAAAATAAAGGACATAACACTAAGTATTAAATTTTAAAATGGTCACTTTTTTTTTGAACAATTTTTTTTTATATTTTTTAATAAACTATCTGTAAAAGTATAGTTTTTATTTATTCTTTGCTACTTAATATTTATTTTTTTCAAAAAGATGTGTTAGTTTCGTGTTTTGTTTTCAGAAATACTAAATATTGTTTATTTACTCTTTTTTTTAAGTGGTCACTTTTTTTTGATCAATACTGTATGTTGTTAATTTTTAGGTAAATTTGTATTATTTTTATTTAAAATAAATTATTTGTTATGTTTTTTTGCTACTTCTATTACTTTTAAAATCTTTATTGTCTCTATTTTTAAATATTTTTTTATAAAACTCTAATTTATTTACTTTAATTTTTCTTTTATAGTATTTTCTGAAATAATGACTTTATTTGTTTCAAATTATAACAGTATCTTAATAAGTTTAATATAAATAATGGCATAGAAAAGATTCTAAATATCAAAACAAATATATAAAGATTAGTAGTTATTAAATTTTTAAATATAATAATTTAATTGTTTATTAAAACTTAAAGTATACGTATAACAGACAAATTATATTTAGAATAAAAGTATTTTAATGAAACAATAAAATGATACTTTCAATATCAAAAGTAAAGTTTTTTAAATAAAAACCTTATTAATAATAAAATATTTAATCAATCAAATCATTAATTATTTTTTACAAGTAAAATTTTTTAATCCTTTTTTATGATTTAACAAGCTAGCAAGTGTGTTATCTATATATTTTATAAGATTCTTATTGGTTTAAAAATATTCAAAATTCACTTTAATACTCTGAACATCTTTATTTTTTTAGAAGTAAAAATTAAAAAATATAACATAATATTACTATTAAAAATACAAGTACTTTAAATAACTTGAAAATCTAGTAGGTTTTTAAAGATAGTGTTTTTATTTTCTAAGATTTGATTAAAAAAATAGTTTTATTAATTTCTCAAACAAAAATTTTTAATAAATAAAACCTTTATAATTTAAAAATATAATAAAAACAATTTATTTCACATTTTTCTGAAAAAATAAAATAAAAAGCAACTATAAGCCCCTATTAACAAAAGACATAAAAACATAATAATATACAAATCCTTATTTGTAAAAATATTATCACTAAAAATGAAATAAACATTATTGAACCTTCTTGGATCTAATGAGTTTTCATTAATAATATCATCTGATGAATAAAAGCCTCTAACTGATTCTTTAGAAAAACCATTAAGTGTTTTAATAAAATTTTTCATTAAATCAGGTTCACACCTTTGATAATGGTAATTAGTATTATTAGAAAGTTCACTGTTTACATTTTCAATAATATAACTAAGACTTTTTACTTGATCATCACTTACATTATCTTTATTAGTGGTTTCTAAACTTATTTGAATGCTTTTAATAAATTTTATCAATATCATTAGGGGTATTTTAATTTTTTTAATTTTTATTCTTTATTAAAACAAAATAATATGCCATTTTAATTATAAAAAAGTCATTTAAATTCTTTTGATTAAATCAATATTTGAATAGTAAATTTAACTATTATAAT